GAGGAAACGGCCGGCTATGCCGATGGCGAGGACGATGTCTGCGGACTGCTGCAGCACAATGGCTACGACATGCGCGCCCAGCTGGAGGAGCACAGCCCAATGGACGGGGCTGGAGACATGGATCACGAGCAGCTTGGCAAGCGAGGCGTTTCGGTTTCCCCAAGCGGCATGCTGCCGGCACGCGCCGACGTTGAGGCCTATCAGCGCCTATTGGCGGGATCGCATCGCTTTCCGCATATTGTAAACGCACAGCAATTGCAGCTGCAGCAGCAGCAACAGCAACAACAGCAACAACAGCAGCAGCAACAGCAGCAACAACAGCAGCAAAAGCAGCAGAAGGTCGCACACAATGGAACGATGCCCATGTTGACGCGTTATCCGCCCTCAGTCGTCGCGCCCAAGTGAGTCGAGTGCTCGATTTATATCCATGACTGCAAAGTGCATTAGAATATCCATTGCTACCTTATATATTTGATAGAGCGGGAATTGTAACTGCAGCTCTGAGTGAAGTAACCTTGGCTTAGATTAGCCCTTAGCTCTTTATGTATAAGGAATGCCAGCTTTAACTCTGTTTAGATGAAGGAATAGGCCTAAGCGTACTCCAAGTTTAGTTAAGCTTGAGTTTATTTCCACTCTGGAAGTTTTACTCCAGTTGAGGTCATTAGACTCAAGTTCATCATTTCATTAGCTCAGCTGGAGTACGACTTAATATAACTGAGCTTATCAGACTCAAGCTTATCTATTCATGTAATGCCCACTTAAGCTATTATATTTCTAGTATATCCATTGAAGCTTTTTAAATATCCATTGCAAATCCTCCATCTTCACTTTAGTGTAAAGAGCTCAATGAATTTAAGATTCATTTGTCATTCTTATACAGACATAGAAGATATCCTATCCTAGAGTGTATAAGAGTGTCATATATATAAGATAGTCTCCCATATAGACGTAGGAGTGTATTAACACTTTATATATTTTATTATTATTTTCTATTATGATTTTGAGTTGTTAAAGTAAAGTAATTTCCATTACTGCTAACTAAATTTATAAATATGCAAGTCTTCAAGTAGCCTTAACTAAAATTAGTCTGCCTTTGATCTATTTGACATTTTTTCTATTCCTAGACAGATCCTTCACTTGTCACTTGAACTAATATAGAAAACTCTATAGCTACTATGACTTTTGCTTTGGATCTTCTATATTCACTCGAGCTGAGAAAGAAAAAACGCTATAGAGCTTTAAACTTTGATAGGAAAGCCTTAGCAAAAAAGGGCTTTTAACTTTTCTTTAGGTTTTTCATGCTTACTAGATTTTAGAGCTTGTTTTAAGTCCTCGATTAGTAGTCGGAAAACTAGTTTTCTTTCTAAGGGAAACCCTATCTCTCTCTCTCTCTCTCTCTAACACGTTCTATCTCCCTTTCTTAGCCTCTGCCTGTCTCTATACACTTCCACTATCCATCTCTTTCTATGAACTGTATAACTAATCAAGTAACTCTCTTGCAGTCACGCTTTGCCTGTCAACCTGTCCCTGCGCTCCATCAACAGCAACGAAAGGTGAGTGCGAGACCTTTATAGCATGCCGACTCTATCTAATGCTCTCTTTCCCTCTCTCTCTCTCTCTTTCTTCTTCTTAGTAATGGCAGCTCTGGCAGCAATGTAGCTCCACCTGTTCCGCATTCGCATCATCATCAACAGCAGCAGCAACAGCACCACCAGCAACAGCAGCAACAGCAGCAACAACAGCAGCAGCAACAGGTGGTTCATCAGCCTGGCAAGAAGCCGCGCAAGCCAAACGTCTTCATCGATGACGAGAAGTATGCAATGGCCAAGCTGTTGGTGGCCCAGAATGCATCCACCATGGAGATAGCGCGCGCCCTGAACGTCTCCCAGATGACGGCCTGGAAGGTGCGCGATGCCATATTGAAGGGCGTGCCGCTTTCGTATCGCAACAAGCGCAGCGAGGGGCGTGACGAGGCGGCCGCACTAGCTGCCAAGGAGCAGCAGCAACAGCAACAGCAGCAGCAACAACAGGAGCAACAGCAACGTCACCAGCAGGAGCTGCAGCGTCAGCAACAGTTGCAGGAACTGCAGCAGCAGCAAATGGAGTTGATCAACAAGCAGCAGCAGCAGCAACAGCAAAAGCAACAGCAGCGCCAGCAGCAGCAACAGGAATTGTTGCTGCAGCAACAGCAGCAGCAGCAGCAGCAACAACAACAGCAGCAACAACAGCAGCTGCATCACCCGACACCAGCGGAAACATCACATTACCAACAACAGCAACAGCAGCAGCAGCAATCGGCTTCCATGAATGGCGGCAAACTGTTGCACACCCGTCGCCGCTTGAAGGCCGCCGAGCGGGAGCTGCGCGACAAGGAGATCACACGTGAGATACTCGAACTGATCAAGGAGGACAGCAATATACAATACTGGAAGGTGTCCGCCCGGCTCGCCGAGAAGGGCATCAATATATCGCCCTCGTCCGTCTGTCAGAAACTCAAGTCGATGGGCATCCATCGTCGCTGGAAGCCCGGCGATAAGCCGCCAATGCTGGCGATTAGTCAACTGAAGGCGGCCACTGTGGCGGCAGCTGCGGCCACTTTGGCGGCCAATGGGGCGAACTTCGGTCTGCCCAATGGGGTGAATGTGCCAGGGGTCGGGGGCATGGTCGACGATGTCTTTGAGCAGCAGCAGTTCGATATGGGTGGGCCACATTTTCTCAGTGCCTTCACGCGCTAGATGCCGGTCATCGATAGTCGATATATCAGACGGGGACTGTTGAGCTGGGGCGATAACGATAACGATAACAGTGAAATTTCAAACGTTAGTTAATAACCTATTGAACAACGCAAAAACCAAATTGAGTAAAAACAAAATCAAAATTGATAAAACATTAAAATATAAAATATCGATAACAATAGCACTGACAATGACATACAGACACCAACAGTGGCATAGACATTCCTATTAAGCTATTCGATGTCGATCGATTGACAATACAATAACCAATAACAAATGACCAATTTTTGAGCGTGATATCGATAACGATATCAAGTGATCACAAGCAAAACATTTTCAATGCGATAACATTCATCGTAGCAGCTGCAGATTGCGAATCGATAATATCACTGATAAGTGCAATCGTTGTTAACAGTATCGATAACGATAACGATGACAGTAACGATAACTGTGCCAAGGACGTTGCCAGTTCCTGTCACGTTAACATTGAGTGCAGAAATGATGCAGCTAATATCAGCGACGATAACAATAACGATAGCGATGACAGTGACATTAACGATAACTTTAACGATAACGATAATGTTAATTTTGACGTTTTATGATTACGACGACAAATGCCTCCCGGTCCCGCCCAATGCACTATCCCTAACTATTTAAGTATTACACACACACACACACATACACACATTCATACACTCACACACATGCACAGCAGTAACAAAATCCACAACAACAATTTGTATTTTTTATATAGTATTTAAATGTGCAAATCGTGCGCTGCATTCAACTACATCAAATG